TGTTTCTGTCTGTAGGTGAGACTAACAGACTATAATTTTGTGTATTTGCTGAAGGTGTGACAGACAGACTATAATTTTTCGTGTTTCTGTTTGTAGGTGAGGTCATTTTTAATGTCTCCTGTGAAGGACCCTCATGTAGAGCTCATCATTGTCATGTTCATCATACCACTGATTGTTAATGTAAGTATTTCACTTAGCCCCACCAAACACGTTCTGTTGGAGGAAATTGTTGGTTATTACAATGGTGAGATATAGGGTGAATGTTGGAGTTTGGATGAATTGATCCTTAAACACAAGTACGTTATGGTAGAAATGGTAAAATAATTGATCCAAAGAGAGGATATTCAAAGAGTGTCAAAAAAAAATCAATAAACAAGAAAGAAAGAAAAATAATTAGGGGGTATTTTCGATTTGATATGTATGCATGTGTTTGAAAAGCTTTAGAGAGTTTTGTTCTTTAATATATTAACTAAATTTTCACAATTTTTTTAATCTACAACCTTTTTGGTTTTAAGTTTAAATTTAACTGTTTCATCTTTTAAAATAAATAATACAGTTATTATTTGAGTTAATAAACTTTACACTTTCATTTTAGGCATTTATATTCTGGGTTGTTGACAACTTCCTGAAGAGAGAAATGAAAGGGACAAAAAGAATTTATGTAAGTGACAATGACCCTTCCGTCAAGTTCTACAAAATGACGGAACAGGTGCGCTGTTACAATCGAATAGAAAAAGCTGAGGACTTTATAGAATCAGATCTGCTTGTGTCGACAGATGAAGAAGGAGATGCCAGGCGCAGACTGGACGGGACAGAACGTCTTATCGCATAGGGCAGTCACAGAAACGTCATTCATCACTGCTTTTTGTAATGTGATACAGCATGCCTTCACGCCAATCCTGACTGATTCACCTTCTGTAGTCACGCCCCTAAAGCTATTTTTTCAAAAAGTTGGCATTGTTCTCCTATGAGAGGTGAAATAAATGTGATACCAAAGGTTTACTGAAGCTTACAGACCAGAATTCAAACTGTTTGCCAGCTAAACATGGATCACCCGACACGGATGTTCATAATGGATACAGCTTTACTGGAATTACAAAGCCTTCCCCATGTAAAATTGTTTTGTTTACTGTAAATAGCTTTAGAGTGGTCCACTGTAAAGGTTCTATAGGCTGAAAGGTTTAACATTATACAGGTACTATATCACAGGTTCCACAATACAAAGGTTCTATATCAAGCAGGTTCTGTGTTATACAGGTCTTTTGTTAAAGTAGTCTGTTATACTAACTTTCTAGTTCTGTGTTAAACAAGTTCTAACAGAGATACAGTTAATATTGCACAAGTAGAACTTGACAAGGCCAGTGATAAATCTACATGCGAGTCCCAAGTCCTGTACTCACAGAATTTCTGGAATTAGTTAAATTTAACATTGTGGGACT